TGTTTACATTTTGTTCCTGAGGCCTCCCAGCTTCTCAGGAGGAAAAAATCCTAAAGAAAGGATTTGTCATAAAAGATGTCAGTGACAATTCTCCTGCATCCCCAGACCTTTGTTCCATCATTATGGGAAATGTTTTCCCTTTGTGTGAGGTTGTAACCTCCTGTTTGGATTTGTGAGCCTTGTTCCTGGACACTTCAGAGCTGGGCCTGACTTTGGCATCTCACACCCAGTGCATGGAGGTGTTGTTGGGGCTGTCCTGCTCAGGGCCAGCAGTTGGATTTCAAGGATCCTTGTGGGTCCCTCCCAGCTCTTGCTGGGATTTTATGGCCTCAGTCACCTCCTCTCAGAAACTCTTTCTGCCCAGAGAGGTAGGGTGGCCAAAATGCAGCTGTGCCACTGAACCTGAGGGCAGCATGTGATCCTATCAACCTCAGCTTTGAGTCCTGCGTCCTTGTGACCTCCAGGCACCCCAAAGTAACTCATTTTCTATGGAGGGACTGCCAAAACCCAGCCAAGTTGCTGCCTTAAATCTTCTTACTTGAGTTTCTGTTTTCTTAAGGATCAGTTGACATTGACCTGAAGTGGGGAAGATCAGAGGCAACAGCAGTGGTCAGGAGGGAACAGAAATCGTGCCCTGGCTCTTCCCCACTGTGGGTGACCCTTCCATTAGCACCATCCCACACAGCCCATGATGGAGACATTCATCCCCAGCCCAATTGCTTCCTTTAATTTATCCACAATAGGAAAGAACATTTAGAGGTTTGCGAAGGGGGGGAAACAATGACAATTCAAATAGTCCTGGGCTTTTTCTCTTGAGACTATCACAGAATGTTCTGAAAACATGTGCAGACACAGAGGATTAATCATGGCACAGTAATTACAGCCCCGTGTCACCTGCTGCCTCTGCACCCAGGGAAAGTTGCTCATTAAAAAGTGCAGTTTCTGCAGCTTCCCTCAGTGCCACAGATGATGTTTTGTGTTCATGTTTTGCACGAGGAAATTTCCACTAGAAATACATAAAATATTATCCCTCATGCTAGAGAACTCAGGGTTTTTCCCTTTGTTTGTGACAGATTTTGCACATGTCTCTTTCCATGCGTTCTGTGCTATTTTCATCAGTCCTGTACTGCAGAAAGACACCTTAGTCCATATTCCAGAGCCCTGGAGAGGGGAAGCTGAAATTCTTTCCCCACAAGCATTGGATTGGCATCTGGGAAGTACAGAATAGCACTGAGATTGGAGTAGGGTAAATACCTCACTAAGAAATTCTGCATTTGTAATTAATATGAAAAGCAGTTTCCCCTTCAGGGCCTCGAATGCTGTTCAATTCTCAAAGCAAGTTAAAACTTGACAACTACTCCTGAAACAGAGCAGATAAATTGGTAGGATCTGTGTCCTGAGGTCCAAACACCACACATTTTTGTCCAAGCTTTACTTTCTGCCGTGCCCTGAGTTTGAATAAACAACAGGCAATACTGCTGGGACAGTGATGACCCATTTTTGGTGCCTCATGCCTTTTGAATTTTGAGGAGCAGGTGATTGTCAGTGGTACATTTGACATCCAAGCTTTGCCATCAGCCTGTAGCACCAATAATCCATTTCCCATGCTCCACTACAGTGAATTTTTGACAGGCTTGTATGGTAGGAAGCAATCAAATGTGTACAAAGTAATTTAAAAAATAACAAGCCTTTAAAACTGTGGCCTGAAACATTATTACAGAAGGCTGAACTAATTGTTGTGGAAATGTACTGTATGCAACACCTTAATGCACTGCCTGTGCACGGCCCAGCTCTTTAGAGGGAGAATGGGAGCTGAGAGATTGTGGCTTTAAGCACTTAGTGTCTGTAAAAGTGGCGTGGAATGGGATATTTTCCAGCCTGGAAATCACAGGAGCAGAACATGATGTCTCTGTTCAGGTCTGTCACCCCAGCAATTCCTCCCTGCCCCTATGGGGTGCAGGGCTTTGGCCTCATTCCTGGAAGTGTGAGACGCCTTGAGGGCCTCCACGTGATCACTGGGCTCAGATCTGGGACTCTTCCTAGTGGACACCACCTTATTTAAGATATTTATTCAAGTTCAGGAGCTCTGTGGCAGCATCTGTGCAGTTGTTCCACGTTTCAGTTCCCAGCAGAGTTAGAAGGGGATAGAAACAACTGGGTGTGCTGAAAAAGCCAGAGAAAGCTGTGGTCCAGCCTCAGGTTTCAAGAGCTCCTTTCCCCTTTTTAAGTGGCCCATGTGATTTTGGGAAGAGGGGATGGTTCAGCTGAGTTTGGTGTCTCAGGTAAGCTCAGTCTGTAGCGGAGCTGTGACCAGTGACTGAAACAGCAGGGTGTTTTCATGTCAGGCTGAGCAGAGCTCAGCGTTGCTCACATTTGCTGCTGTTCTGAGCACAGGGCTGATGGAGGAGCTGGCAGAGGCAGGCCCTGGCATTGGGCACAGCCTCCCCCCTGCAGCTGCTGGACAGGAGCCGTCGCTGTGCTTCCACGGGGCTCCGTACGCCGCGGCCGCGCTGCTCAGCCTGGGTACGTCAGGGGCTCCAGGGCCACACACCTGGGGTGCTCTGGGCTGGGGGGGACCTCAAACCTCATCTGCTTGCTGGCCAAGAAGGCCAATGGCATCCTGGCCTGCATTAGTGTCTCAGTTTGGACAGACAGGTGTTTGCTAAGGAAGGCAGGAGCCTCCCCTGAAATGGAGAATGTGAACCCTCCCCACCCCTCTGAATTGCTAGAAATTTTAAATTAAGGGGCTCTCAGGCAAAAAATATGGGAGGAGGAAATAAGAGTTCTTTAGTAGGGAAGAAAATAAGAAGATGAAATAAACACTGCAGTAAACTAAAACAACACTGACAGAGTCAGAACCCAACCTGACACCCTGTGGGTCAGGGTGTTGGTGGCAGTCCCATTGGAATTGTGGCTGCAGCCCTCCTGCAGTGTCAGGGCTGGTCCTGTTGGAGCAGGATCTTGTAGAAAAGGGTGCAGTCTTCCTGTGAAGATCCAGGGGAAGAAGAGGCAGCTGCTGTTCCTTTGGGAAATCCAGTGGAGAGCCATGCAGTTATTCCAGGATCTCCAGATTATATCTGGGTAGCAATGCTTGGCTCCTCCCTCTGGGCTCACATCTCCCAATGGGATGCTGCAGTTCTTATCAGCCATGCAGTGACATTCAATAGCTGTTATCAGCAATGTCCCCTCCTGAGGGAGGAGCAATTGTGATCACTCAGAGAGAGATAAGGCAAAACTGCCCACTTGACAAAAGATAATCTGCCACACAGATGGTAATGGAATACATCTTGCCTTGCAACCTGGAACAATTAGGAATGGTGTGGCCAGCAGGAGCAGGGAGGTCATTGTGCCCCTGTACTCAGCACTGGTGACACCTCATCTTGAATACTGTGTCCAGTTCTGGGCCCCTCAATTTAGAACATCGTTGAGATGCTTGAGCACATCCAGAGGAGGCAACAAGGCTGGTGAGGGGCTGGGAACACAAACCCTGTGAGGAACGTTTGAAGGAGCTGGGGCTGTTCAGCCTGGAGAAGAGGAGGCTCAGGGGTGACCTTATTGCTCTCTGCACCTTCCTGAAGGGAGGCTGCACACAGCTGGGGTTGGTCTCTGACAGAACCAGAGCACTCGGTCTCCAGCTACCTCAGGGAAGGTACAGGTTGGAAATTAGGAAGAAATTTTTCAGCAGAAGAATAATAAAGCACTGGAATGTTCTTCCCAGGGAGGTGGTAGAATCCCCACCTCTGGATGTGTTTAAAAAAGACTGGACATGGCACTTGGTGCTGCAGTCTGGTTGAGGTGTGAGGGCACAGGTTGGACTCGATGATCTCAGAGGTCTCTTCCAACCTCATCATTCTGTGATTCTGTGATTTCATTCCACAGGCAGGGACACCTGCCACTATCCCAGGTTGCTGCAAGCCCTGTCCAACCTGGCCTTGGACAGTTGCAGGGATGGAACAGCCACACTAACAGGGCATTTTCCTGGATAAAACCATTAGGAATCTGCTGTTTGTCTGTAGATTCTCATTTACTGTTCTGTGTGGGGGTGTTTGAGGGTCCCCAGGACAAGGGAAGAAATGAGAATCTTGACTCCATATTTCAGAAGGCTGATTTATTATTTTGTTATATATATTATGTTTAAAATGCTATCCTAAAGCTATACTAAAGAAAGAGGAGACATCAGAAGGCTAGAAAAGAATGATAATAAAATCTTGTGACTGCTCACAGCCTCAACACAGCTGGACCTGTGATTGGTCATTAAGTAAAAACAATTCACATGAGGCCAATCAAAGATGCACCTGTTGCTAAACCATCTCCAGACCACATTCCACAGCCATCAGATAATTATTGTTTACATTTCCTTTCTGGGGCCTCTCAGCTTCTCAGGAGAAAAATCCTAGCAAAAGGATTTTCATAAAATGTCAGTGACAGTTCTGCTGCCAGTCAATCACAGTAATTCTCATGGAAGAATCAATGGAAATCAAAGTGAAAATACCTTTGTAAAGTAAGTTAAAAGATACATGCAAAAAGAAATTATTGAAACATGACACAGTAACATCCAATTAAGCCTTAATTCAGATAATTAGAAGGTTAACAGCCAATCAATACGTATTTATTGCCATAGTTTCAAGAGAAGTCAAAATATTAAAATGAGATAAATTGTTGGTTGTGTGTAGAACTGGAATGTGCTGAAGTGATAAACGCTGGCAGCTGTAGTTCTGTAGGTGCAGGAAAGGCACTTTCCAATTTCATTTTACTCAGATATTCTAAATTTCAGTTTGTACAGTTGTATTCACTTTGGTAACCCATTCATTCAAAGCTGGGAGATTGATAGGATTTCAAACAGCAAGGAAATGGGTTTTCTGTTCTTAATCTATGACTCACATGGGTGAGTCTTAAACCTCCTAGTTCTGTAAAAAAGATTCCCATGTTTATTTCACTAACTACATGTTGGGGGTTTTTATGTGTTCAGCAAGTTAACTTAGTTTAATTTAATTTAATTATTTGAAAATCTGAATGCCAGGACTTTGAATTAAAACATATTGCTCTCCAAAACCAAAGTGACTCTAAATCCTAAGGAAAAATGAAAATTAAATGCATGTCATTCACAATTCTCTAGCATTGTGAAATGTTATGATGTGGGAATAAGTAAGTAAATAAATGTTTATTGCTTACATAATCATGTAGTGAATCAGTCTGGAAAAAACAGGGATTTCTGATGGGCCAGGGATTCTCCAGGCTGTGCTGTTCCCACCACGACTGTGCATAGAAGCATAGAGTTACAGCAGTCCCCAAATTAGCTCCCACTTGTGTGCCCTGCAATGTCCTAGAAAGCAAAATCAAGTATTGATTTAATGTGAAGTCAGTCATTAGTTATCAACCCAAAACTGGTGCCTTAAATCATTTTGGTGAAGATCTTTCAGCTCTGCCTAATGGTGTGAATAAGGATATCAAAATTACAAGGAATGTATTTGCTTTACATGGCAAAATGTAATTCCAGGGAAGGACTGGGACTAATTAGAGGGGCTTTGCTGTGTTAATATTCCTCCTTCAGGAGATTTTCCTGAGCTGCAGTGTGAGGAGGCAGTGAAATGCTGATTGGGATTTATACAATTCCTTCACAGCAGAAAGCCTGAGCTGTGTTTTCATGGGGTAACAGTTTTATTTTGATGCTCTCCCTGGGCAGGAGGAAACCTCAGCGTGGTGCCAGAGCCCCATCCCATCCCTCTGGATTTCCTGAGCCACCGAGCTTTCGCTGCTGAGCCCGGCATGGAGCAGGTGGTGATGCTGACCCTGGTGGGGATGAAGGCTCTGAAGAGTGCTGGGCAGCTCCTCCAGCAGATCCTGCTGCCCCCCCTCAGGGATCAGCCTCAGAGTGCAGGTAACCCAGCTTGGAGACCTTGGGCTACCCTGAGTAGCTCTTTTTAGCACGGCAGGAACATCATGGAAAATGTGGTGAAGGGGCCTCAGAAAGAATGGGTTTCTTTGTTACCCCACTAGAGAGCTGGAGAATTGCTCTTGGTTTGTTATGGGCAGTCACAAACAGCTCAGGTGGGCATAATTGGCTACAGAGAGCATCAAATGAGTTCCAAGTAGAGCTTTTATGTAACACAGAGCACTGTGTCCCTCCCTGAGCAGGGGGAGGTAAGGCTGGGCTGGAAGCGGGGCAGGAATTTGGCAGTGCCAGCTCTGTTCTGTGACTGCAGTGACAGCCCTGGTGAGCAGAACCAAGGCCCCTCACGCTCTGCTTCCCCCAAGGGAGGAGCAGCGAGGCTGTCCCCACACTGCTGCTCACATGTGCATGAAAAGGGCTGTCAGGCCCTAGGCAGGACAGGGATTTATGTAATTTCATGTGCAGGTTGCACTGAAGTGTGATAACACAGGAGCTGTAGGCACAAAGGGCTTGAGTCTGCCTGTCTTACACTGTGTTGTACCTGACTCTCCCAAAACTGAGTTGAAATACTGCTTGAATTCCTGTGAAGTTCTGTATCTGAGATCTGAGCCAACAGAAACTTCCAGCACTCATGGATTGACCCCTAAATACCTTCCTACATAGTCAGAAGACAACTTTACAACCCCAACAACATTGAAACCACTTTAGAGACAAGTCATCATTCTGCTGTAGTTTGTTATTCTGCTAAACATTGCTTAAAGTGTTATGAGAGGTGCTAAAGGATCCATAATTATGGATTATGCTGTGCCAAGCCACATTGTTATCAGTGTACTCTCAGTGATTCCCTTTCCACTCTCCTCCATTAGCTGTGCTCTCTAATCAAATCATGGCACTTGCTCCCTGTGGCTCCCTGTTGATTTCCCAGTTAGCCATTTTTTTGTTCTCCACTGTAATGGCATTTCTTAGAATTTGCATCTCATGGGTTTTCCCAGTATATTCCTGTATTTTCATTACAGTCCATTCTGGATGAAACAGAAGTCAGAACAACATTGGAACTTGTGCAGGGAAAAACCCCATGTGAAATAAAATGTTTGTGTCCAAAAGAAAGCACGACTTCTATGAAACACAAACTGCTGCCTGGTGCTAAAAACATTTTTCTTGATTCAGGACTCGAGCTGCTGGGCCTGAAGTGGCTGCCCCACCTGACTGGGCGCCAGGCCAGGGAGGTGACCCCTTTTGAGGCTGGGGACACTCAGTGGCAGAGCAGCCTGGGCACGCTGACGTCCAGCCCTGTGCTGGTGTGCGCGCTCCGCGGCATCGACGCCTTCCTGGCCCTGGGAGCTGCCCTGCAGGGATGGACACAGAGCAGGGACAGGCTCTGCACAGGGGACAGCCTCCCACAGGCACTCATGGCCCTCACACCAGAGGTGACCTTCAGACAAGCCATCCTCTTCTTCACAGAGGCAGATTTGGTCACTGGTAAGGCACGGTTTTAGTGTGTGTGTTCTCCTATAGGGGGTGTGGGAGTTGATTGAGCTTGGACAAAGGAATTCAGTGCTGGGGTCTTTTTCAGGCACAGGAGAATGTAATAATGTGGGGTAAATTCTGTGCTTGGCTGAATTGAGATGAGGCAGTGAACCCAGCAGGAGCCAGTGAGGTCACCTACAAGGTGGCTTTTTTAATTAATGTGACTGTGCTTGGCCTGGTGCCCTTTCTGATGATCTTGAGGTACTCCATAAGTACTAATTACATATCAGAGCAATTGGCAGGATCAGTAAATAATACCATGCATTTTAAACCCTTTCTGTAAGAGAAACAGAAGAACAGAGCCCAAGAGCTCTCACACCTAAATGTGGGCCCCTAATTGTGGTGCCAGACTTGCAGCTTGATGCCTCAGCCTTGCCCTGTGCTCAAGGAGATTGAAGGTGTGACCAGTCTGTAAGAAAACAGATTTCTTGAGAATTTCTTTTCATCCTGGAGGAAAATGAAGAGAGGAATGGAGACCTTTGCTGTCAAAAGCTTCTCAGGGTTCAGTGATGTGTGCCAGCATCGATCTTTCAGCACAGTAAATTTGATAGTTTCCTCCTGTAGCAGGAAATGTATAGCCATGCCTCTTAAAACTAAATCACTGTGCAGACTGTGGGGTTATTGATACTGGATGGTTTAGAGCAGCAGAATACAAGCTCCCACTGTTTTCTTTTAATGTGAAATATTCAGAGAAGAATTGGGGCTGCCTGACTCCTCTCACCCAGAGAGAAACAGTTCTGAGCCCTGACAGTTTCTGGCAGGGAGCTGGAACAAGATGGTCCCTTCCAACCCAAGCCATTGTGGGATTTTATGATTACTCAGAGGCAGAGAGAAATCAAAGACTGTGGTAACACCATGTATCAGCTGAAGGGGAGTGATGCAGTCCCATAAGTGCATTCGTGCTTTGAATTTACAGCCCTTCCTTTATCTTTCCTTGGGGAAGAAAAGTCCTTTGTCATCAACACAAACTTAGCCACTTGTGTCAAACCCACTGTGCCTGTGTAGTGTGCAATAACAAATTTGCTTTGCTGAATGCTATGAAGAAAGATTTGTCTGGGAAAAGATCCTGGGTTTAGGCTCTCACAGCAAGTTTGATTTGTCAGTGAACTCTGGGGGTGTTCTCTGTGAGACTGGGGAGCAAGAAGAGGAGCCTTCAGGAGAGAAGGCATCAGACATCCCCGAGTGGTGCCTAAGACTCCAAAGAGTTCATGCACTGCAGCCCTTAATTAAAGTTATCTTGAGATGGAAAGGCAGGATACGAGGAAAGCAGAGCTGTGAGCTCAGTTTATTGAGGGAGGTTGTAATGGCAGTGCCAGCCTTTTGCACCAAAGCCACTGTGAGGAACAAAAGAGCAAAACTTTTGTTTTGTTAGGCCAAACTTCAGCATCCTGCACTGTCTCTTTAATAAGATAATTTCATTTTTTCTTTGTGTTTTTATTGTTGTGAGAGAAATGGAGAGACCTCCCTGCTCAAGAACAATATTTTGTACCAGGTTGAACATCTGCCCTGCTAAATAAAATTACTTTTGTCACCCTCCTGCCCCAGACATGGAAGGTTTCCCATCTTTAATCCATAAAAATTCCTGTCCTTCCTTCTCCAGATGCAGAGCACCGCCCCGCTGGGAAATTCCTGCCACCACCTGGCAGGAGCTCCAGGACTGAAGGGAAGACCACAGGTAAGCACCAGCTGCCTCTTGAAAAAAAAAAAATAAACAAGTTATTTTAGACTCTTAAATAGATTGAAGAAAACTGTGTGTCCTCTGTCAGAGCCATTGAAATGGGATTAGTAAACCTTTGGTTAGACATCCTCATGCCAGGCAGTTGGGGAGCAAAGGCCAGCTGGGTCCCCCTGGTGCTGGGGGAAGGTGTGAGTATTGTCACATTTCCTCTGCACAGGCCTGAGAACCACCTGCTGACCTGCATGGTCAGCTGGAAAAGTAATTAATGTCAGCTCTTTAGTAGCTTGTTTCAGGTGTAGAGCCCAGAAATTATGATTTTCAGGATGTTTTAGAGAGGTGAAATCAGAGCAGAAGTTGCATTTCTTATCTCTCTGTCATTTACATCCCAGCGCTGCCCAGGTGTCCATGGCATTCACAGATCCTGAAAGTCCTTTCAGGTAACCCCAGCACTAAGGAAAAAAGCTGCTGCTGGGAGGATGAGCTAAAAAGTTATGAGACAAGGCAAGGACCTCAGGGCTGGTTCCACTTGTTATTTGTGCTCTTGTTATTGCAACAAACATGTGGAAAGAGAAAGAGGGCTCATTAGGAAAAAAAAACTCTTTGGCTAAATACCTTCCAGATACATAACTATGGAAAGTAGATAGACGTGGATTTTGGACAGTAGTACAAAAAAAAAAAAAAAAAAAAGTAATTCTGTTTTGACAAACAGATTTTAGTTTTTTNATGGAAAGTAGATAGACGTGGATTTTGGACAGTAAAAAAAAAAAAAAAAAAAAAGAAGGTAATTCTGTTTTGACAAACAGATTTTAGTTTTTTCCTTATCTACCTTGCATGTTACAGTAGCTAAACTTGCCAGCCACTGGAAAATGAAGTCTTTTATCAGTCTGATGCAGGATTCCCCTCACTGTGCCCTAGATCTTGATAACTTCTCAATTCTCATGTGCCTGAAGTGCCTTGATTGTGCTCATCTCCAGGTCACTGCAGGTTTTACATTAGACTGAAGGCAACATTTCTGTGTTGGCTTTTGTCCTAAGTTCTGATTCCCCAGGCTCCTTTCATCCTTCTCTGCTCTCCTGGAGAACCAGTGGAGCAGCCACTCCTGGCTGCCTGGGGAAGTGCCAGGGAGGTTTTATCAGCAGCACTCAGGATCCACAGCACCCCTTTGTTTCTGAGAGAACATCAAACAAAACACCAGAAACAGGGCAGCATCTGAGCTGACTGTGGAGTATTAGGAGCACAGATAGGTTTAAAACCACTGTTAACCACTCCCTGAAATCCCAGAAATGGTAACCAAGATCCAACAAGATTTAGTGTCACTGTCATATTTACTAAAAAATCCCTTTGCCAGGATTTCTTCTCCTTGGAAGCTGAGAAGCCTCAGAGAAAAATGAAAACAATAATTAGCTGATTGCTTCTCCTGTGTTTTGCTGCTTTGGAATGTGATTTGGACATTGTTTACCAGCTGGTCATTGTTTGATTGGTTTCATGTGAATTGTTTTAACTTAATGACCAATCACCATCACCTGTGTTGGACTCTGAGGAGTCAGTCATGAGTTTTTCATTGTCATTCTTGTTAAGCCTTCTGTCTGTATCCTTTCTCTTTCTTTAGTATAGTTTTAGTATAGCAGAATAGAATAGAATAGAATAGAATAGAATAGAATAGAATAGAATAGAATAGAATAGAATAGAATAGAATAATAAATCAGTATTCTAAAAGCATGGAGTCAGATTCCTCATCTCTCACCTCGTCCTGGGGACCCCTGCAAACTCAGCAGTTCAGGACCTGCAGCCCTGTTCAGCCTGTGCTCCTGGGATTACCAGAGAAGGGGGAAATGTGACCCCTCCCAGGGTGTCCCAGGACATCTGAAATCAATCCATCCATGTCCCAGGGTAACACCCTCAAATATCAATATCAGTGTGTAATATTGGCTGCTTTATGCAGAGATGATAGCACAACTGTCAGATTGTCTCAGAGCACACCAAACTCACTCAAATCTGCTTCTCTCCTGCAGTGGGTGAGAGCTGGAGGTGCCGAGCAGAATCCCTGTTCTCCTTCCTGCAAGCAGGTGAGAGAAGAGCAAATGGAAAAATGTCCTTTGACAAGGACTTGGTGGAACTAAATCATCTGAATGCATCAACCCAAAATAAGCAAAAAAGGGATTAAACCAACATTTTCCTTAGGCTGGAATCCAGCCTGATGCACTCTGAGCATGCCAGATGTGGTATCTGCTTGTCTTGAGTTCCCACTTATTTGAAGTCACACCTATCTGAACTATTATCTATAAATAGCATATAAACTAAACTCTATTTTTACAGTTAGGCTATGAAATCAAAACCTATGTAATAATTTTTGGGGGAGGCAAAAAGAAAAGTATTTTGAAGAATGGATCTAAAAATATTACAAAGTAGAGAAACGTAATAAAGACCAGAAAAGGCTTTGAGCAGCCAGAAGTGGAAATCAGGCAGGTTTGAACATTGCCAAACAGGTCCCTCTGCTCATTCATGATCAGCAGAGATTGTTCCATTGGTAATTAGTGGTATTTTCTCTAGTTCTTGTTACTTGTAATTGCTGAGGAGAGAAAGCCAGCTCTGGGTGACAAGGTGTCTGACCAAACCAGGCTGGCAATCCTCCTGAAGTGTCTAAAATCCCTAAATATGCAGCAGGTAGTGACTCACACAGCAGAAGAATGAGAATATCTGCTCAGAAACGTAGCAGATGGTGAGGAAAACATCTGGAGGCCACTGAGTGCTTACATAACACAGAGGGGTGAGGTTGCTGAGGTGGAGCCCAGCAGCTCCCTGCACTTCCAGGCTGTTGCTATGGAACCTTTCTGCTCAGGAATGATGTGAGGAAAACAGCACATCTGTAACAGGAGGGCTCCCTGCAGCACAAGGGTTAAGTTTCCATATCAAGTGGGGAGGAAATAATCTTGGGTTTTATTTTTGATCCTGTGTTTCTGTGCCATGTCCTGCTTGTCACCTGGAAATAACAGCATTAAATTTGAGGTAGCCTTGTTGATGCTTTGCTGCATTGACATCTGTGTAATTAGTACTGGGGTGTACAGAAACAGAAAATGACATGTTTTGTACCCAAACAGATCAGCTTGGATCAGTGTCAGCAGCCTGGAGGATGTTCCCCTGTGCTCCTGCTGATTGATGTGGTTCAGCACCAGCAGTTCCTGGGCCTCACAGACTGGTTCTGACACTGCACTTGCCAATAAATCTGCAGAAAGATGTTATAAGGATAAAATATTAACTATACTCTTGGTAGCAAGTACTTTAGCAAGACTAAAAATTTGAAAATGCTGTCATTTAAAAACGGAATTTATGTATTTTCTGCCTTCAAATCCATTTTCATCAGACAGCAAAGCTTCCTTGGTCTGGTTTGTTTTCTGCTCCTCATAGTGCTGCACCTTCCTGGCAGCTCTGCTGGGAGAGCTGTGTCAGAAGCAGAAGGTTTTTAACTGGAATGTCAATTTTTGGTAAAGACAATTCAATTAATTATTGGTTTATGACATTAATTGGGACCTGTCAGGGTTGTCAGTGCCTCTCTGAAACAGAGCTCTAAGATACACAGAACACCAGAGTAAGAATGTAAGAGCTGCTCAAGGCTCACATCACATAATCACCACGGTTCACATGAAAAATGCAAAAGGGAATATTTTATCTCTCTTAAAACATTAATCTCTAATATAAAGGTTTGAATCTTATCCGACAGAGCTGCCACAAGAACTTTTAGGACCTGGAGCAGATTTCCTTGACGGAGAAACCTCCAAGCTTGGACTGTTTCAGATACATTTTTAATCTGAAAACCCAACAAAGCAAACCCAAATCAATAAATGATCCTCTATGCCCAGGCTTTTTATGGACTCATTTTTTGGTATTTCTGTGCACTTCCTGCCGGGTTTCCCCATGCCCAGGGCAGCAAACAGAACCCTCTGTGTTTGTTGCAGGGGCACAGCTTCTGTGCACGGTGCTGCTGATCAAACCCGGGCTGTGGAGCCAGGGGCTGCCCAGGATCCTCAGGGATCTGCACCTGGAGAAATTCTGCGTGGTCGGGATGAAGCACCTGGAGCTGGGAGTGGCTGCTGCTGCCTCTCTGCTGCCCTGGGAGCTGCAGCAGGTCAGTGAAGGGAATGGCACCTCGGTGTGGGGAGGAAAGGGATGAGCTGGGGATAATCCATTCCTCAAATGCCCAGCAGTTCCCACCTGGGATTTCAGAGCTGTAGGGAATGTTATAAATGAGAAGCTTCACTAAGCCAATATTCAAGCAGCAATCAATTTATTGATTAATATGGTAAAGTATGAGCAATACAGCGCTGGGTACAGTGGGGGAAGTTTTCCCTCCAACTGCACACCCATAGTTGAGGCTCACAGGTATTTCATCAGCTTTCTCAGCAGTTTCTATTCCAATTTTTACTCATCAGCAATTTCTAGTCCCAATTTTTACATCACAATTCTATACACTATTGTGATTTAGTTTTTCTCTAGATGTATCTCAAAAGCAGTATCCCCACATGGTTGGTGGTCCAGTTTCCAAAAGAAGGAAGAAGGATCCCTTCTAGTGGGGTCCAGCTCTCCAGATGTGGGTCCACCTTTTCATTGCAAGGACTATAAATCTCCTAACAGTGATGTCCATCTTCCCTTGGTCGAAACTATTAATCCTTGAGTTGATGTTCGTCCTCCTTTCTCAAGCTTTTCACTGTTTTGTTAAGGCTTGAGAAAAGCATGTTTCCTTTTTATATATTCTCAAGTTATAGTTTCAAAGATCCTTACTACAAGCAATATTCTAAAATAATACTTCAAAAGGTTATTATTGCAAAACTCTTTAAGGCTTAACTGCCAGCAGAAAGTTCCTGTCAAACAGCAACATCTTTAACACTTTAATTCAAATGTTCCTAAATCAACTTAAGACTTATAAAGGTTAATTGAGAACAAAAGATAGGTTCAAAGGCCTTCTTCCATGCTTTACTTTCCTCAGTTATTATTAGAATTCATCTTTATAACTGTCCCATGGTTGGTTTCCACACATATCACAAATACACACATTGCCTGTGTGTACCTGAAACCAAACACAGCTTTGTATTTCACATGAAACAATCAGATCTGCACCTCACCAGCACAGAGAGAGCTGAGGGCTTTTATCACAGCCATAAAGACAGCCCTGGTTTCTCCCAAACGAAACTTTGGGGAGGATGTGGGCAGTACAGAGCTCTCAGGTGTCTGTTCAGCCCTGCCAAACAG